CACTTTTTGGTTTGTGTCTCTGGCATTTTTCTTGTTAGTTGATCATCAATGCTTTGTTCCTTAGCCGTGCCACTAAACAAGGTACATTATTTACAAGTAAACTGACTTTCATCTGATTTATTCAAAGCCCATTTTCACATCACATGTGGAAATGTATTTCTCTGTGTTTGATAATCCTTGTTCTCCCTCGTGCAACTTGTTCTATTTTAGATCAAGTCAAGTTTGGTGTCAAACTAGAAGGAAAATATTTCCTGAGGATTTTCCTGTTGGTTTTCACAAATTAAATGAAACTGTATTTACCTGAACAAATGTTCTTATTATATCCAATTTGTTTAGTTACTCACCATGATCTCAAATGTCCATATTGTTAATTTTCTAAATAAGTGTTGAATATATTTTTTGAATGCTTGGAAAATGTAATCAGGGTCATTTAGTCTAATCTTGAGATTTGCTGCAAATTGGAAAGGGAAAGCTGGAAGAAAAGGATTAAATCTACATGATTTTTTTTCTCTTTGAGATGCATTTAAACAACTCTTCCATCTTGCAAATGTTCTACCAGTTTAGAACAGTGTTTCTGACCAGGTTCTGTAAGCACACACTGGCAATTTAGTGTAGCTGGATGGCTACTGTTAACTATCCTCATGCTCGGCTGTACTCCTAGAAGACAATATAGTGTCTAAACATGGTAACTGTTGTGATTCCAATAGCGAAGTGCCTAAATTGTTTCTTTCACTGTTGCTGTTGTTGCTAGGGCTCAGTTAGTGGAGAAAAATACTACTGAATGTGAAAATAGGAGGGTGACATGGCCCAGATAGCCATGTAGCCAGTGTTGTGTTCCCCAGGGCTTCCTTAGCATTAAGTGAAAAAAATGTATGAACTCAAAATGCTCTATGAAAGTCACGTTTTGAGTTAAAACATATAAAAACAATTTTCATATTAATGGTTTGAGAGTACAGTTACTAGCATCTGCACTGACTGTCTAAAGCTCCTGTAGATATGGTTGAGCAAGATGTGGTGAGACATTGAGACATGACTTTGGACTTACTCATGCAACGTGGGTCCTTCTATCAACCTTTTATGATCCTAATAGTAGGAAGAGAAGACAACATAGATGTGCAGGTGTGTTTACACACACGTGTATCATGCAAAGAAATAGGAGGCTGTGTAGGCAACCCTCAGCCACACTACGAGGTTTTTCTTTGGATATCCCCAAAAATTAAGTCCTCAACTTTCACTGACTTTTTAGGGGTCTTTGGCTTCTTATTGTGCAAGACATACCAGAAAATCTCACCTGCTGTGTGGCAATTCCTAATCTGTATTTTTGCTTTCATTTCAAACAAATGAAAGCTGTTGGTATTTGAATGTATACTGATTAGAAATGTCTTAATTCAGTTTCAAAGCAGTCCAGATACTGTGTTTAATTTCATGGAACTCAGCCATATTAGAAATCTGTACACAACAGCATCACATTTCTGTAGAAAAACTAAAAAGTGGAACATGAAATGGCTCTTCATGTCCACAAAAATGTTATGCTCAGATTAAATGCATCATCAGCCATTCAACCATATGATTGCTTGTTAGACATGCCATTTTATGCAAGTCTTGATACTTAAGAGAAATGTCATCTTAGTCCCTGGCCATCATTGTGCGTAATTGGTATCTTTTAAGAAACTAACTACCTGATTGGCAGTCTCATTTGAGTAGTCAGATGTCTAAATGACATTGTTCCTACGGGAACTTTTTGGACCAAAACTGAATGCCAGTTTTAAAATTTCTTGGCTGTGTGTTGCTACAGAAGGCTTATAATTTGACTTTACACTACTAATTCTAATACAGTTCTGCTTTGCTTTTCATTAAAATTCCCGTGTACAGAAGTATACAAAGTGTCTGTTTCAATAATATTTCTTTTGAAACTCTTTTTCTTAAATAAAGGTAGCAATAGGGTCATTTATGCTGATAGCGTTAAAATCTAATTTAACATCTACATCTTCTGGTAACAGTCCCTTGCGTTACAGATTCTAGTTCCCAAACAATAGACCACATCATAGTCTATGGCATTCTCTAACTCATGAAATAGAACTACTTTTGTTAGTCTATTTTGCACTTGTTACGTCTTACAGCAGCAGTAGCTATTGCCTAACTGAAGACTGGTATTAGCAGCTTTGTATGCAGTCTAATGCCAGGGTACGAAGATGTTACCAGTCGTGGTCTGATTCAGATAAGTGTGTCATAATTCCCAATTGCATCACGCTCTAAGATGAAGCTGGACTTTAGTGTCATTGCTCGAAGTTCCAGTTCCACAGACCATTAACCAACTTGAAAGATCATACTTACATTTCGGTCTCGTTGAAGATCACTTGTTAAGGTTCTCAGTCTTGCCCTAGATTATTAAAATCAGGATTCAATACCAAGCTTTCATTTTCTTTCAGTATGAGGTTAGCCATCCTTCAGTCTCTGTTTTTGTAGCTTTTACACATGTGAGTAATGCTTTCATTCATACATTTGTCATAGTGTATTCACAGCTATGCCACTTGTGGGAGCCTTAGCAGGAATTTGAAATTATCTCTATCCCAAATGGCCCTAAAGGCACCTGAAGGTTTCAAGTGTTCAGCCTCAGAAGCAATGGCCAATTCAGTTCCGTGACAAAAATGGGAGCTGAGCTCTTTTGGAAAGCTGCTCCCAAGGGTTGTTGGACAGAGCCCTTTGTGTCTTGGTTTATGCATCAATCCTGCTTTCAGCGGCAAGGTTTTGCAATACAAATTAAGAGAAGTTTTATTTCAGAATTAAAATATGCTATGGAAATCTTTCATTTCAAAACCAAAGCTGTCTGGAGATCATGGGATTTTTGAATTATTTCAAAGGCATAATACTGTCAAATTTATAAAAGTCATATATTCCCAATGGACACGTTGTGACCATTTTTCCCTGATTCATTTTTTGTTGTATTTTTTATGATATGCGTGTTAACAAGCTTCAGTTTATGACCTTGACATTTGCTTATTTTTCTTTTGGAGGTCTTCATAAATCACCATAAGATTTTGTTGAAATCATTATAAATAAACCAACCAGAGAATAAGTCATTGGAATGGACAGAAGCAATTTCCTTTCTCTCTACTTGTGCGTAATAGTTGACTGGCCCATAAGCCATACAAAGATAGTGAAACATTAGCATGGCAGAGAAAACGCAGCCATATCTGTGTTTCACAAAATAACAGTACATTCATAATGCTGTTGGCTTCTTAATTTCAAAAGGCAGATTTTAATATTACTGACTTCAGAGAAAGATAAGAAGGGCAGTGCGTAAGACATTATCAGTCCAGTGTGGAAATAATGCATTCAAAATTAAAGACAGCAGTTTAATTAAGTGCATGAAAGGCTGGCTTTTATGATCATATTTCAAATACTCGAATGTCTTTTCATCCATTCTGCCGTATGACTTTACTTAATAATATATCAAGAACAAAAAATGTATTGGAGTCTTTCTGCAAATTCAATTAGTCCAATAAAAAGTGAAAAATAATTCCTTTTTCATTAAGAAGAACTCAACCCTAACCCTTCTGATGACAAAGTGCAAGATGAGGAGGGGGAGAGAGCTAAAGAACTATGAAATTTCTGCCTTTGTTATGCATTTATGTGTGCATGAAACAGATGAAGTGTCACCATTAGGAACATTTGTTACTGAAAGGACTAATTGCATTCCGCTACAGTTAGTAGTTTATCAGATCCAGACCACAGGGTATTTACTTCTCCCTTAGGATGCACTCACAGTGCAGCAATAATTCCACAGCTATTGGGCTGCTATAGGCAGGGTAATTATGCTAAAGCGTACCTCTTTCGGTGCTAAACTTAAAACTACCGTGACACATTGCACTAGTGCTTTACAGGTTAAGTGCAACCTCTTGAATCCTTTCTACCTGCTCAGGGTTTATAGCTGAGGGAACTGCAGAGATCATAGATCTTGTGTACTAAACCAGAAAAAGGAGTAACACAAACAACCCAGAGGTGCAGCATTTCAAATGAGAAATTATTAACTACGCTATACAATGAAGGAATGTGCATTTAGAAAACTTTGAGGTAGGTTAAAATGGGCTGGCAAAGGGATCTGTAATAAGATATTGAGCTTTAGGCTGGAAGCCGTAGGTTACTGGCTCAACCGTGGCACACATCTGTAGTGACTGAAAGTTATTACCACTTGTCAGCTCCTCTCTGACCTCTGTGAAATGAGGTGCTAGTCTCAGCCCGGCTCCCAGTGGGCAGACGTCTCTGTTACAAACACTTCCAGCGCCACGGCTGGTTTGTCAGTCACAGCCTTGGCGCAAAGGCTTGTAGCAGCACCGCGGCGAATAAACAACATCCTCACCTCTGAAGCTGGCTCCTTCAGGTTAGGGATGAGGCAGGCTGGCAAATAATTTGAGAAAACTTGAAACTCCACTGCTAACACAGGGTGGCTCTGGGTAAATAAAAGATCTCATTTTCCAGAGTTGCATGTTGACAGGTTTCACTTCTGCTGACGTAACTAAATGTGGCCCCAAGGGTTGTTGGGGAATGATCTGGTCCTGTTCTGTTTATGGGCACCCACCATACAATTTGATTCCTCTGCTGTCATTTTTCCTCTTACTTGTCTTGTTCTTGATTCTTTTAATACCATGCTGTCTGTATAGGAGATGTTTCCTACTATGTTTCTCTCATTATGTGTTTATGAACAGATTCTTTTCCAGATATCTATTCATGTCCTAATCTCATTTTAACTTCAAAATATTCCTCTCCTAGAGGTTTTCTTAGAATAATTATCCATACTGTAGAGAACCAGACAGGCTGCGTTCTGAAAATACAGCAATGAATTTACAATAGTGACCCATCGGTTTTTTAAAGCAATAATTTTCATTTAACAGACGTAAAAACTATAAAAAATATTTCCTTTTGCAAGCATGCAGGTACAAGTAAGAGCAAGTATTTATGGAAGTATGATTTAATAAACATATGTTTGTTTTTTCATATAGGTAACCCTCCCGCCACAGGTACAGGAACTTTACACATCACTTTAGAGGACGTCAATGACAATGTCCCATCCCTTTATCCAACACTGGCAAAAGTTTGTGAGGATGCAAAAGATCTCAGGGTAGTGGTACTAGGAGCATCAGACAAAGACCTTCATCCCAACACAGATCCATTCAAATTTGAACTGAGTAAGCAATCTGGCCCAGAAAAATTGTGGAGAATCACCAAGCTTAACAGTAAGTCTATTACTTTTTTTTCCTTATGCACTTAGTCCTCCCACCTATCCATCCCAGTCTACTCGCCCTGAGGCTATGTGCGTTCAGGAGCAGTTGTGCATGGAAGTCTTGCAGGATGGACCCATTGCTGCTGCTTTACACTCTGCTGTTTGTGCTCGGACCAACTGCCGGGTGGGACATACTAATAGTCTGTCTGCATTTCGCTGAAATCTGAACGTTTTTCCTCTTATGTTGACCAAACTTTTCTCTTTTAGCTTTGCATTAAAGAAAGGCTACTAATGACTTACAGTTTTGTAATGATGACCATATTTCATGGCATGGAATTTGTTTGCATGAGATGCACAAGGCTTTACTATAGGACAGCATGAAACATTTGCAAGGGCTTTAGCAAGGTACTTGAAAAACTTCCTGATTTTAAGTATTTGAACTCTTCACAAACAAAATACCCAAACACACTGGGACCATACACTATTGGTAAGAGCATCAAAGCACGTGCTATGCAATTGCAGAAGGTTCGTATGGCAAACTGTGGGCACAAAGTACTAATTTTTTTTTTTTAATGTAGATTATTTCTAGCATGTGTTATTTATCTCTGTTACAATTAAATCTTTTAGCAGTTGATATCATATTCTTAGAAAAAAATGAAAGATGGATGTGATATCTGTACCTGCCTGCAGGTTGTCGTGGACAAAGTGGAAGAGTCATATTCAGCCTGGAGAAGAGAAGGCTCCGGGGAGATCTTATTGCGGCCTTCCAGTACCTAAAGGGGGCCTACAGGAGAGCTGGGGAGGGACTTTTTACTAAGTCATATAGTGAATAGGACAAGGGGGAATGGCTTCAAACTGGAAGAGGGCAGGTTTAGATTAAACATCAGGAAGAAGTTTTTCACTTTAAGGGTGGTGAGGCACTGGCACAGGTTGCCCAGAGAGGTTGTTGAGGCCCCATCCCTGGAGGGGTTCAAGGCCAGGCTGGATGTGGGCAGCCTGGTCTGGTGGGAGGTGTGCCTGCCTATGACAGGGGGGTTGGATCTCGATGATCTTCAAGGTCCTTTCCAACCTAAACCATTCTATGATTCTGTGATTCTATGATTTTCTTTGCTGTACTCCAAAGATCAGATCACCACTCTGTTAACCGCCCTAGAAGAGTTAGCACGCTCACCTGGGTATCCACGGTGCTCAGGTGGAGCAGATCTGTAGATTTGAAGGGTAACATTACTTCCCTTCACTGCTTTCTCAGGCAAACTGGGGACAGCAGTTAAGCAGCTTTGTCTGTACTTCCTTGCAAGAGGATTATTTTCTTTGGCAAATAGATATATTCTTTTGTGTTGCTTTGGGGATGACATGCCATAGCGTTTTATTAATATATTAGTTTCCACAGGCAAATTGTGCCAATAATTTGCAGACCAAATAATGTATTTAAACAAAAAGGGCTCTAAAAGTCTTTTTTTTTGGTGGGGTTTCAGCCCATGAAAGAATTTCTCTACTGCCTCTTCTTACCCCCAGTCCAATTCTTTAATCTTTTCCGTAGAGTATTCTCATTTTCTTTTTAATTTCCATGAGTAACTGTGGCATATCTGATATTGTTTGCAGATTCCTCTTCTCTTCCAAACAACTGCTATTTGGCTAATTCTTACCTTATCCTTTGCAGATACTCATGCCCAGGTCATCCTGCTTCAAAACCTGAAAAAAGCCAATTACAACATCCCAATCTCAGTGACAGATTCTGGAAAACCACCTCTGACTAACACTACAGAACTGAAATTACAAGTGTGTTCCTGCAAGAAATCCAAAATGGACTGCAGTGCAACCGATGCCCTTCATATCAGCATGACCCTCATCCTTCTTTCACTCTTCAGCATATTTTGTAAGTCTTTTCCTGAACTGTAAGTAATGAAGTATTATTTAGCTGCTCATTTGTATGCTGCATAAGAAAATCTGCCAAGGGAGAAGTTAAATTCATACATTGATATCATAATGCAGTAAGTTTGGATTTATTTTTTTTTTCCTGAGGATGTGTAGCTATAAGAAAGAGGGAGGGGAGGGGAGGACTTTTTCATAGTCAAAAAATAGCAACGAATGCCTGGTTGTCAAATTAAGAAACAGAAGCAATAATTTTAAGAAGAATCAAAGGGAATTAGAGCTAGCATATGATAAACTAAGAAGTACCAGCTGTAGTAGCAGATTTGTGAGACGCTTTCTTTCATCTCTCCCCACTTGAATTCAATTCAAAAACAGAAGCCGGAGATTAAAGGTGTTCTTGTAACAATAGCTCTTCTGGGTCACCATGAAAATAAGTACTGTCTGCTTCAATCTATTCCTCTGTATAAAGTGCGCAAGCAACTGGAACATGAGGAACTTATTCAAGATTCTGGGCTTAGAGTCACCCAGAATTGATAATCAAATTGCAAGTCTGGGGTTGGAGGGCAGAGAGAACTGATACGTAGAGGAAGCTTCTGCAGCTTCTGAGAAAGTTTTCTAACAGAGACTTACAAAATTCCCAATCTGAATTGGAAGGAGTAAAGAAAAAATCCCAGAATGACTGAAGAGTAGGAATTCAAAGCCATGGAATCCCAGCATCTAACCTGGCTTGTCCTGTGACAGATTCCAGCAAATTTTGCGATGCGCTATGATTTTGTGTTCCGTATCTCTTAAAAAGGAATAGCTGTATCCTGTAACTGCGAGTCAAGGATTATTACCATCATCTTATGTTAGTAAAATACATTGTATGGTGAATTAATACCTGAGACATGGCGAAAGGCCTTATATTCTTGATGAAGTAAAAGCCACCATGAGGCAGAGCGAGAGGTCAAGGCAGAGATAGTTTACACATCCTAGGTTTGGTCTATGCTTGATTACACATCTTGTCAGGTTTTTTTCTTATAGTATATTACTTTTATCCTGAAAGGTTAGCATGAAGGTCATTGTGAGAGAATTAGAACTAGCTAATGTTTGTGATGCTCTTTGAAGATGAAAAGGACTATATAAATGCTAAGTGCAAATTCACGTTCTTTGTTCCAGTCGGTGACATCTGAAGTATCTCCATTGGCCTTGGTTCAGTTATTCTGGGTTTAGTCTGCTGGAACCAAACGCAGACTTCAGCTGTTAGAAGTAATATGTTAAAAATATTTGACAGTATGTGACACTATCACATCAGTGATATAAATATGCAGCCCATTGATTCAAATGTATTCTTGTTACCACTTCATAAATGTTGCTGGTGCTATACTAGGCATGACTTTCAGCGCTGAAATTACCTTCATACCTGACATGATTTGCATTTAAACTTTATTTACATTAATGCATCTGCTCAGAATATAATGAGGGAGAGAAAAGCTTTTTGCTTTTTAAAGTAATCATGTTGCTTTTTCCTAGCCCCCAAAGAAGTCTGATCATTTTCCTTACATTGAATTACAAAAAGCAGTTCTAGGTTTTGGAAAGCTCTTCTTGATTTGTTCTTCTTGGCTACAGATCTTCTCCAGCTCAACTGTGGGCAGAATATAGGCCCCTGGCAACTGAATGGTGCATGGTGCTCTGAATGAGAGGGATTCCCTCTCCTGCAGGAAAAGGATAAATAGCACTGAATAGTCTTTATGCTGTGAAACAATACAGACATGCCTAGAGCCTTTCTGCAGCCGTAGTTCAGAGTACTGCAATAAGTATGGAGAGAGTCGCAATGTTAAACAAAGAGCAGAGTAAGATTACACACATAATCTGCCAGCAGTATGATGTTCCGGTCTCTTGTCTGAGCAATAAAACCAAAACAAAGGGGAATAGTGGGTGAGTTGAAAGGAAGGGGAAGGAAAGATCTCCCTCTTGGGACAGAGGCTGTGTTATACACAGTTGTGAGTGAGAGCGGGAGTTCCACAAAAGCACTTCAGCATGGAGAGACCTAAAATTTAAAACAGGACCACATATTTTTTTTTCCTCAAATTTGCTGTTCTTCAGATGCATGGTTTCGGTTCAGCCAGTCACAGAGCGAGGCTGGTGTTCCATATCTGGTACAGTTACCTAACCACGCTTATGCAGAGGCAGCAAGCATAACAGCTTTCCTAACCCTTTTCCTCAGGTGTAAATGACTACACGGAGACGTAAAAGAATGAGTCCAGGAGCCAGTTGAAATAATGTGGTACTGTACTTGAACTTGTCTAAAATGTGCTGTCCCAATTCATTTTCACACATAAGTTTTTTTATAACTGCAACTAGTTCCATTGCAATGTTTTGTATAGCCCAAATATTTATCAGAGTAATCAAAGATTAGGATGCCATAAAAACAAAGAGAACTTTAGTGCTTATTGAACATATGAAATATCCCATTTCTGGTGGCAAGTTATGGGTTTAATTTTTGCAAAAGCCCTTATGTGGCTCACTTTCCTCCCAATGTTTATGTTTTATGAGGCTCTTGTTCCTAGGAGGTAAATCCTTCAGTCAAATGAACTTCCTTATTCATGCCAAAGTATTTCATTTTGTATTTGACATCTGGTGTGAGGATAGATAGCCTTGTGAAAGAGCCATTCATGGTAAAAATGCCCTGCATGCATCTCCTCCCCATACAAAACATCTTGGTATTATCATTTAAATGGTGCAATTATTATCTATACTTAGATGATGTGCCTTCTTTGTAAATCATGGAAGAAGTCATATGTGGTAGATTTCTGAAGTATCTGAGCATAGAACTGAAGAGCCTGATTAAAACTGTAATGCATGCAAAAAGCAGCAGTTCCGCCTATTCTGTAGCTGCCCTACTGTGTTCAGTATATTGAGGGATAATGGGATACAGACTGCAGAGTTGCCCAGAAGCCCTTGGAAAGGTAGATATGCTTGGAACAAGAGAAATTTAGGACTTCTTGTCAGCCAGAAATAGAAAACATAAGATGCCAAAGTATACGGGCAGATTGCTGATTCTCCACAACAAAACAATAAGGCGTTTCGTGGAATTAAAAGATGTTGAATACAGAGTTGATTGGAAAAAAAGGAGCATCTTTGCATATTTTGTACTTCACCTAACTTATTACCACTGGGAATCACTGAAGTCAAGCTGGAAAGGTGTATAGTGGACAGGTAGAGGGCTTTCCAAAGTTATAATAGTTAATGCTAACAAATATTGGAAAGAATACTGTCTTAACCGTTATTAATGCAGACACTGTATTTAAGATGACATCTACTGTAGTGGCATCTTCTCCTCTGTCAGCTTTTCCTAGCCACTACTGGAGACAAGATAGGACCAAAATGCTCAGATATAATTTAGAATTTAGTTATTCAGATCGAGGAAAAGGAACAGATAAAAAATAAGTCTGGGTTCCTAGTCAGGGAGGACTACTTCAGGAAGAAAAAAAAGTGGGAGAAAGAAGTTGTGTTATGCAGCATGTCTGGTGCTGGGTCTGAGATTTTCCGTATTGTCCCTTACTGCTATATTGTCTCAGTCATCTCATGTTTTCAACTGACACTGCTAAAATAGCTCTGTTCAGAATGAATGCAACCAAATGATGAACAACACTAAAATTGTAAACAAGTTCCCTGTGGAAGGCTCCTGAACATTTTTAGTAAGAGAGTATCTACAATATTACAAAAGGATGAGGGATTGGGGGAGAGGGAAAATACGTGCTGCTTATTGCAGCCTACAGATGGTAGCTGATACTTCATGTAGGTGAACAATAGCTAAAAGCGAGAACCAATATCCAAAAGGTATAAGAGCGGTCCTTGAAAATTTTGCTTAAGTATCATCAATTTCACAACAAATCATTGTAAATATATGTTTAACAAACATTTAAAAGCAATCTCTTCTCAAGATACACTGAGGTCGGTAAAGCTGGTTTTTGTCCACTGGCAATGACATGGCAGACTAAGGTTCCATAAGGAACTTGGTCAGAACAAGCCAAATCTAAAGCATATATCAAACAACTTTTGGGACTTAAGTTACATGCAGGTGACTGAGAAAACAAACCGAGCTAAAAAAGTAAAAGGTCAAGATAAAACCATATTCATGTATGTTGTCATAATGAACTCAACAACAAAAACTGCCCTAGGCCCTATGGGAAATTGAGAAAGAACTACTCTAGCTGGCAGGACTAGGCTTTATATCAATTACAAATTATTTATTCTGGATTTCTGATTTGACAATAATTATTTCACTTAATTGCATAATCATGGAATGATAATTGCATGTCATATTTCCTTTTATATTCTGCCAACATAAAAGAGCAAGTTAGATTCAAATTAAAGGACTAAAATAAAAGCCAAAGGCACAACAGTCACGTCCTGAACAAGTAGAATTCCGAGCAATTCCATTAGTAGCTCAGTCACACTCGCAATCATATTTTACTTTAATTTCCTTGTTAGAAAAAAAAAATGGACTTTACACACTTAATCTTGAAATGAGAATTTGATATCTTAGCTGACAGTCAACCATTGATAAGAAACTTTTTTTGGTTAACCTAGCCAGTGGACGAGGAAGTTGTAAGTTGACTTGAACTTAAGTAAGTAAAGTATTCCATTATTATGAACAGAAAGTAAGGTGAGAGGCTGGGGGGGAAATACTGCTATGAAGAAATTCAATAAGCTGGAGGTCCCTACATTGAAATTAATTTGTTAAACTGAGGGTGAAAGGCCTCAGGTGTGTTGAAAAACAGAGACTCGCACAGATGTCTGTACTGTGATTGCAAAGAAGCCTTAGAGATACCCTTAAATTTAACTTCCTGTTAATTTCCCCTAACTTTTCCTGTTTTAATGCTTCTCTCACCATAATGTTTTTCTGATTTGAGGAATGCAGCTACAGGATCAATAGACAAAATGTCTTCTTTTTTCCTTAAAAAGTATGTATTTGTATGTATGTATATTATGTATATATATTGTATATATATAAAATAT